ACCGCCGTTGCGAGTGCCGTTGCCTGCGTTGCCGCCGCCCGTGCCACCACCGCCGTTGCGGGTGCCGTTGCCTGCGTTCCCGCCGCCCGTGCTACCACCGCCGTTGCGGGTGCCGTTGCCTGCGTTGCCGCCGCCCGTGTTTCCCTGGCGGGGGTGCAGGATCGCGTTGGCAACAGGCGCGAGGCCGAGGTTCTGTTGACGGATCGCACTCCAGATTAGTTACTGTATTCCTCTGGTGGCTCCCTCTATGACAAGCTTTTGCTGCAGGGACGTGGACTCCTTGGCCATGCGCCTTGTCCTGTCAAGTGTGGGTACGTACCAGGGCAGTGGCGGACGAGGCCAGAGCCAGAATGACAACGGTAGAGGTCCTCATGGTGACTAATGTGTGGTTGTGTGAAAGACTTGTAGACGAAAAGTCGGCTTCGAGCAAGCTGCGTCAGGATATCGTTTCTGAAGTGGTGATGATCTGCTTGTCGTTGCAACTGTGGATGGCACTTTTGGTCGAAATGGAAGCCGGCCTCCTGGGTAAAAAAGGGCTGAGAGAAGTGAAGTGAAGAGAAGGAAAAGTTGTTGTGTGATGCCGGATCTGGAGAATCAAGATCTAGCCAAGTGAGAAGGTGAGGAGGAAGCCAAGTCATATAGTCGGCTGTCACGGCTCTGGTGGCACACACAAGCCGCCGACCTGCCCGGGGTGAGGCCTGTCCAGGGAACCCACACGGCGCCGCAGCAGCACCGCATCAATCGAACCCTGGCAGTTAGAGGGCCGTTCCAAGCAAGTTCTGGGCGCCATGGGTCCCTCGACCTGTCCGAAGGACCCATCCGTTTTGACCTGTTTTTTTCTTTTTTTGGCGTCTCCCGGGGCCGGGGTGACCGGGCGGCCTTTGACGGGGTCCTCCTAGTCTTTGGCCCCATACCCCCGGCTCGATTTCCGCGGGTCCCTTCCCTTGCCAGGGTCAAGTCCCGGGTGGATGGAGCAGGGGGCTAGGGCCAGTCAGTGACCATTGACCAGGCGTCTCCGTTGGTAGTCACGTCGTGCCACGCGACGATCCTTGGCCGCGATCTGGACGGGAAGTGACTGCGCCAAGACTCACACTGGGTGAGACCGAGGCTTCGCTGTTGGGAGCAACTGGCAGGGGGGGACTGTGGCAGCCCCATTTCGAAGCCCCTGAAGGCCGATCTCAACCGGAGCGGGATAGAATGGCCGGTTGGCAGCAACGGTGCGACACCCGCACTCTTTATCATCGGACGCATGCAACCAGAGATGGGATAATGGGTCGTAGTCGTTAGCTATACCGACCTAAGAATTTGCTGTTCCAGCTGACCGAACTTTTCCCGGATCGAGGTCGTCTCGTTACGAGGAGAGGAGCCTGAGGTGCCGCCTCCATGTCACCCCGTCGTTGGTGAAGCCGTATCCAGACCCATCGCCCGAGTAAATGGGAGGATGCGAAGGGTCCAAGAGCAGGCCAGGAGTGGACGGCCAAATTCTCGGCCTCGCGGGAGATTTGCGCGCAAAGAGCCGCCAAGGGGGCTTGACATGCATCATCAAGGAGCGATCCCGCGTTGACTTGCCCTCTAGCAGGTCCGCCCTGTGCAAGTGCAGGCGTGAAATGACCGGGCTGGGGGGATGGATGGATGAGTGGGTGGTAGGCGTCGTGGGCCCCAATCCACAAGCGCGGCGTCCGAGTCGGGGGCGGGTGCGCGGTGAAACATTTCGGCCACGTCGAAGGACTCCCCTTGCGTCTAGGCCCCGGCCGCTGTGATAATGAATGGCCAGACTGGCGGTGGAGGATATCTCCAAGCCTGGTTGCACGCGCTCCGGAGATACGCACATGTGTGTGTACACATGGGTATGTGGTCGATGTGTGCTGCCGCTATTCATGGGCATCGCCGCATGTCATGGCGCCCACAACGTCTTGCGCCGGCATGATCATGGACGCCAGTGGGGGGCCCCGGCTCCACCGAAGGGACTGATGAACCGTGGCTCAAATGCGACGTTTGTTTTCGGCGCCTGTGCCCTTCGCGCCCGCAACCCAGTGCGTGTCCTCCCTCCAACGAACCGTCCCGGGGGCGTGTCGAGCAGATGCTTGTTGCCATTATGCCACGAGCAGCAGCGTGCTTGATTTGACGGCTCCCCACGCGCCATGTAACTTCCAGACCTTCCAGGTTGATTCCAAGGCTTTCGTGGATGTGCGTCCTCGCATTGGAAACTGCCTGCGTGTTGGGCTTCGACGTCTGAAGCCAAACCCCTGTCGCCTTCGTCCAGGCGCCCCCCTATCATCCGAAACAGTCCAGGTTCCAAGTCCATTGCTGATCATCGCAGAAGGCGTGGGCGCCCTGCCGACGGGATTACAGCCTGTCCCGCCATGCTCCGCCATCATTTGCTGCAACCTGTACGTAGCTGTCAACGTCGTAAGATGCTCATCTCGATAGAAGCTGCACGCCAAACTGGGGTTGCAACCGACGACCCGCCCGCCCGCCTGATTTGCGGCCACCAGACCTGGTGCTATGTACCTAGGCCTCTCCCAGCTCTGTTGGTGCAAGTCGCCTGTCCAAGAAGGTGGAATCGGATTTGCCGTTGGCCAGCTGGTAGTGGCACCGGGGCTATTGAAACCGGGCTGGCATATATCCCACTGAAGTGGCAAAGTAGGATCGGGTAGCCCATTGAGATTGAATCATGTCGCCACAAAAGAAGGTCGGAAGAAAAAGCAACAGATCGCCAAGGAAAACAAAGAGGTAAACAAAGGGCTGAGCTAGTCATTCGGTGCTATACCCGGGCGGCCGCTTCACAGATTTGCACGGGGACTGGGGCCAAAATATACCTTTTGCACTTAGGTATGCCGTAGTTGGAAACGCTTGATCGGTTCCGAAACCACAACTCCTTCACTCCGTCAAGAGAAGTCTGATCGGGCCGACTCAGACCGTGATAGATCGCCCGAGCCGTCCACTTCATCATACATGGCCAAGATCCTGTTAAGGAGGTCGCGGGGCTGTTCGGCAGCCTGGTCGTCTTCATAGCCCTCACTCCCTTCCTCTTCACCTGGAGTCGCTATGTTTGCCCGCACAAACTCGCGCGCGGCTCTCTCTGCTACTTCGAGCCGCCTCTCCTCGTCGCGGGACAGCCTCGTGAGCGCCGAGATGTTCTCACCGCGGGCCATGTAGGCACTGAGTTCTTCTGCTCGCTTCACTATATTTTCATCGACCCCGTTCATCCACGCGCACCAGGCGCCGAAACTAGATGTGCTCCGGCCGGGGACCAGGCTGTACAAGAACGTGATCTGGTTCTCGCGCTCGCTGGCCTCCGAGTCGATTCTGACATCCATGTGTGCGTAGCCGATGTTGGGCGTCTCATCAAGGACATGCTGCTCAAATATCTCGTGGAAGTGTGTTGCCGCCAGAACCTTTGGCCTCGTAGCTTCGTCTCTAGTCGCAAAGTACCAGAAGAGCCCTGCCGCCAAGGCCGCACCGTCGATGGCATTGGTTCCCTTTCCAAACTCGTCTGCAAGCACGAGACTGCGGCAGGTTGCATGGTTCATCGCAAATGCCGCCTGCCGAATGTCGGTGGCAAAGGCACTTTCATCCCCCGTCACGCTCTCCCGGGTCGTAATCCTCGTCAGTATCTTGTCAACGATGCCAAGCCTGGCACTCTCCGCAGGCACAAAGCTTCCCACGTGGGCGAGATAGACGATGAGAGCCACTTGTTTCAGAAAGACGCTCTTCCCCGAATGGTTCGGCCCCGTGAGGATAAGTATGTTTGGCGTCTTCTCGCCGTCTTGGCTGTCGGGGGCCTGCATGTCTTCGTTGCCCGAGCCACCGACTAGCTGGCAATCGTTGGCAATGAAAGACGGCACCACGAGCTCCTGAAGGAGGTGTCGGCCATCTTTGATATCGATGATGTTCTCGTCCGTCATTTCTGGTGCCGAGAGGTTGTATTGGTGAGCAGCGCCAGCCAGTGCCACGAAGCTGTCCAGCTCTCCCCAAAAGTTGGAAGTCGACAGTATGGCGTCTTTGCACGCCATAACCTCGAGCCGGAGCCTATGCAGAATCTCGATCTCTCGGCCTAGATCTGCCAGTCAACACGATTGCATCACTTGCCCATATAGCGCAGAATACTTACCATTGATCTGGGAGACAATGTCACCATAAACCTCGTCCAGCTCTCTCATGTGGTGATTCTTAAAGTGCATGTTGTTCTCATCCACGAACTTCCTCTCCCAATAGCCCTCGGGGTCTGACCCTGGGCCTTCATACAGTGGCTCGCCCGTGTCTGGGTCCACATAGACAACGGTCAGGAAACCGATCTGGTGGTAGTAGACGCATTGCTGAATGTACTGTCTCGACTCTAGCGGGACATCTATCACAACTCGTCGTGTGACTTCAACGAGAAAGCTCTCCATGCCGTTGAATCGGTGATTCAGCTGATCGAGCACTTGGTCAACCCCGTGGCACACCACCGTCTTGTTGGCCACCTCGGATGCTTCGAAGTCGACTGTGTCGGAGACCATCTTCCCGATCTTCATCATCTCTGCCGGCTTCACGATTCTAGCCATCTGGAGAATTGGATATTGTCAGCGTCTGGAGGTGTAGCATAGGAACAGGCCGATATCTGTTTGATCAGGGCGTGCGGACGAAATCCACGCGCCACTTGCCTTTGTGCCAATCACTTCACCTCCGACTAGCGTCCGCACAAGGCCGAAAATCTCGACACTGAATTTGGAAAAGTACTGCAAGCTCTGCCATACGTTCCTCTTCGCCGATGTCTGCGCCGAGGGCTTGTCCACTCCTTTCTGAACGTTGCCCATGACTGTTTTCATATTTCGGATCATCTTTAGCTTTTTGGTCAGTAGGTTGTAGGTCTCTGTGTTCTCCGGCCGCATTAGCACGGCAACGGTGCGATGCTTCTCTCGGATGAGCTCCATATTGGTGCTTGGACAGAGGAACGCCTGCTTAAGCTTCAGTTTCCCCTGGGGTGTGCATGCGTGCCTCTGGAACAGGCCATAGACGGAGAGGCTCTCTTTGGCGCCCGAGTCTCCTCTGCTGGGATTGTTCATCTGGTTGTTTGGGTGGCGCTCGGAGCGAATGATCTGGAGAGCGTCCAAGGTGTCCTGATTCACAAGCATCAAGTCGGCAAGGTTGAACAAGTTGACAGCCATGATGCTGTATGCGGACGCAGCTGCCGGGTCTTGGGCCAGGTAATCAGAGGCCGTCCGGCGCTGAAGCTCGCCAATCACGGCCCCAGCGCACCCGACCTGCGGCCATGTCAGACAAACGATGCCATTGGAGAGCCGACACTAGTGTTCTTACCGACAAGTGGCTCTGGAGATTGATCAAGGACCCGAGTCTCAGGCTTGCCTGAACTTGACCGAGGCGTGGCCTATCATCCTCGGTGTCCATCGGGTCGTATTCGCTAGCGGTGGTCATGAGGAGATCCGGGTGGCCTAAAGTGTCGAGCTTCAGCTTGGCAAGTCTCGCCTTTGCCGTGTGGGGGTCAAACTCGGACGACCCTATGGCTTGTAAAACATAAGCTCCCTTCATAGTGCCTTCGCGACTGCTCCCATCGATGCCTGGGGTAAGTTTCTCCAGGTATGCGACCAACTCGTCAGAGGCGCGGTTTGGTATAATGATGACTGTGGGCTGAGCTTGGATTAGTAGCAAATCGACGAGCTCGAGGCCTCCCGAGGTATCCTGCTGGATAAGTAGGTGCTCGTCCGCAGAGGTATAGAGAGCAGATCCGAAGCCCCCATTGCCCCGAAGTTCAAGTGCGAGGATGACATCGTCCTGTGAGCTCTCACACTCGTCACGCCCCATGACTGAATCATTTTCGGTCAGGATCTGGGACGACTCTTCAAGGTGGCGGCGAGGCGAAGGGGTGCAGAACAAGGGCCGCGAGCTTCTTGCATTGAGAGATGGGCGTGGAGTTGATGAAGACCCGATGTTCTGGCGCCGCGCTGGACGGCCCTGGGATGTAGATGGCTCGGGGCGTCGCTTCAAGCTTCTTGAAGGCATCTTGGCCCGACAGCAGTTGCTTTCCTAAGCAGGATAGGGGGGACAACCGCGTATTGCCGGTTCGGGAACCTCGAAGGAGCGGAGGAGACCTGTAGTTGCCGATAGATGCTGTTGCGACCTGACGCCGCAATGGATGGGATGTGATTGAATTCCGTCTTCGCTGAGGTCGAGCTAGGTGTTGAGCTTTTCGGCTGTCGTGGAAGGAGCGCGACCTCCATTCTAGCCCGCCGCACCTTCTCTAGCAGTCCTGGGCGGTCACTATCACCACTAAACTGGGAAGTAACGACAGAGCGCGAATATAGGCCGAAATGGGGAGGCACGAAAAGGCACAATACCAGAGACTACAACAACAACGGGCGCGCTTTAAAAAGACAGTGATCATCGCGGGACACAGGACATTTGAACTAGAACGTAGCCCGAACTCGTCACTGAAGGGTTTAGAATTCCTCGGTTGATGCACGAGCTCAAAACGTGGACGAGAGCTTCCAGGAAAGACGGCTGAAGAAATGAAGTGTCATGAGACAAATACCTAGGAGGACCTATCTACTACCTACTACCTAGGGAGACCACTAGATAGGCAGGTTGGTATCTAGGCTGGTACGTTTAAACCGAGATAGGCACACGTATATACCTAAGCATGTCTCCAACAAAAGCGGCGACAACGCCCTTCATGCCTTGGGCTCTGCGCCAGACTTGACCCAGCAGGCAAACTCCTTCCTCTGCTTCCGTATGTCGACAAAGGCAGGCCGGGACTCGAGGTACCGAAACGGGTTCCCGATGAATTCTCTGGCCACCTCCTCGCTGTCGCCGCCGGCCGGGAAGAACCCCTCGGCCCCCTCGCGCTCGATCTTGCCGGCCCACTCGCGCCACTGGATCGGCCGGAGGAGCGGCGTGCCCAGCGCCAGGCCGAGGCACATGACCACCAGCGCCACCACCGTCTCGATCGATATGTCGACGGGTAGCGACGACGAGGCCGCCGTTGCTGTTGCCGCCGCCGCCACCGCCGCCGCCCCGGTGCCCGAGGGCGACGAGGATGCCGCCGCCGAGGGGGAGGCCGTAGACTGCTGCAGGACCGAGTGCTCGTGCGCCGAGTAGCAGCTGTTGGGGAGGTTTGCCGGTGTCCCGGTCAGTGTTTGGCGGCGATGCCCCCGGGCCAGGTGAGTGTCGACTTACGCGTGAGCCAGCAGGACGAGACCAAAGGTCGTGATGGACTTTGATATCCACGTCATGGCTGGTGCTGGTGATGGGTGCTCTGGAGGATTGGCGGTCCGTTTTCTGGCTTGGGCGGGCGGCTGAGGTGGTTTGTTCGGGGATTGGCTTGTGCGACTTGTCCTGGCCTCTTGCAGGGGACACGGGTGACGTCGTGGGCGCGCTTGGGTTCAATTGGTGGTGGAGCTTCCATGGACCCTCCGTTTAGTTGCATATGATTGGGGCAGGCCGCGTTTATGCACATATCCAGCATCACTCAGCGATTTATCGGCAAATACGGACGACATTCCTCATCTCCTCTCAAAAGAGCCCCTTTGCGACAAGTTCCAAAGCCAGACCTGCCGTTAAAATTTACTTTTGATGCCCTCACAGGACTCTGGGGATAGCTGTCGCTCGTCATTTGTTTTCTCCCCTGATCCCGATCTTCATCACAATGCGTCCATTGTCCAGCGGACAGACAATGGCCATTGTGACAGACCGCTTCAGTGCCGTTGGCGATATCTTCCATGTGCGACAATCCTAACGCCCGCAATCAGACCCAAGCTCGAGAATGAGTACAGAAAAAGACTAGAGATTAATATTTCGACTAAAAAAAATGGCGAGATATCCGCGCAGACCAAAAATACCCCAGGCAACTCCCAGACCCAAGACTCCCATCATGGTACATCCATATTTTACCGTTTCCAATTTCCCCCTTCATTGGGTATCCAAGATTCCATTGCCACCCTCGCCGAATCGCCAGGAATGCACCAGACCAATGACGCCGCATTCTGTTTCTCGTTCCAGACGTGCAGGGCACCTGGAGGCACGCGGGCCTGGTCGCCCAGCCATGAGTGGATGAGATGTAGAAGAAAGAGCAACACCGACGCCGAAAAGGAGATAGGAGAGAGACAGAAACTCGTATTTCGAAAGGAAACAGCCGCCAACCGACAAAAGAACAACTGCACCAACACAAAAGAAAATCGAACAAGAAACTCTGGATTGGGTTTTGGTACAAAGGGCGCACAAAGAAACAGTTCACGCAAACTCGCGAAGTCGGCAAAGAAAAGAAGCTGATCGAACGAGGGTCGGATAGTATGCGGGTCCGCCTCCCTCGCGCCGGGTTCGGCGGCCTTGGCGGGTCAAAGGACCGCCTAGAGTGTGGCCGCATCCGGCGACTGGCATTCTTCAGCTTGGGGTCTAGTGGCCGCCCTCGACGGGCCAGTCGTTGATCTCCCACTCGTCGAACCCGTGGGCGCCACCGCCGCCCATCAGCGTCTCGTTGAGGCCGCCCAGCGCGTCGAGCTCGGGCGCCACGGCGTGCGGCTCGGCCTTGCCCCTAGCGTCGAACGACGAGGGCGCGTAGCCGGAAGGCGCCAAAGTCGCGTCCGCCGCCGACGGGGCCAGGAGGCTCGGGTCCACCAGCGGGGGCTCCGAGGCCTGGCGGCCGGCGAGGGCGTGGTGGTGGCCCTGGCCGCCGTAGAACTGCTGCGGCTGGTGGTGGCGCGGCTGGTGGTGCTGCGAGTAGTGCTGCTGGCCGTACTGCTGCTGCTGCTGCTGCTGCTGCCGGTAAGGCGCGGCGGCGTGGAAGTTGCCCGCGCCATCCGGGAGGAGGTCGCTCGGCGAGTACATCAACCCCTCGTCGTGCGCCGGCGCCGGGCTGTGGCGGGTGGGGAGGCCATCGTAGGTCAGGCCCATGTGGGCGCCCTGGCCCGCGTGCATGTGCGGCTGCTGCTCGCCCCTCCCCGCGTACCCGCGGATCGACGACAGGCCCCCGGGGCCGGCGTTGAAGTCGAAGTCGGACGCGGCGGTGGCGTGGAGGCCCAGCGGCTGGGGGTACGGCGAGCTGGACATGTACCTCTGGGCTTGGTACTGCCTGCTGTACTGCGGCGCGGGCGGCGAGGTGTGGCGCGAGGGCATGTCGGACATGCCCATCATGGAGGGCGTGTGCTCGCGGCTCATGTACCCGCCAAAGACCTCCTGAAAGGCCGGGTCTTCCTCCCGGTGGACGCGCTTGAAGGTCCAGGTGGGGTCGTCGTCCTCGTCGGCGTCCTTGCCCTTCTTGCCCCGCGGCTTGGCCGGCTGGAACTTGTAGTTGGGCCAGGCCGCCTTGTGGCCGGCGCGGTCGAGCTTGGCCAGCCGCTCGAACCCGGCCTTGAACGCGTCCGACTCGAGGTGGCGCCAGCTGTCGCCGCAGACGCGCGAGACGACCTGGTGGTTGTCCTGGCCGCAGTACTTCTTGGTCATGAGCTGGTACGCCTTGCGGTATAGCATGAAGGAGTTCATGGGGCGCTTGATCCGGCCCCGATCCTTGGTGCCCGTGCGGTCGATCTCCTGGTGCCGCTCCTCGGTGGACCGGGTCACGTACGCGTGCATGTCCTCGACCTCGATGCCCATCTCCACCGCCAGCTCGCTCAGGGGCCTGGTGACGGACAGGTCGCCGGCCGGCCTGTCCCTGGACTTGGGGGCCTTCCTCCTGCGCGGCGACTCGGGCTCGGGCGAGCCGCGCCCGGACGAGTCGTCGCCCGCCGGGAGCCTGTGTCTGCTGGCGGCCACCCGCGTGCTGCGGCGCTTGGGCGTCGGGGGCGACGTGGCCGGGGTGCCATACGGCTGCGTCCGGGGTTGCTGATTGCTGTCAGTCTGGCTCCGGCCACCACCTGCCACGGCATCAAAGGTCGGGGGATGAAGGGGGTGCGCTGGGGCGGAACTTACATCACGAGACTGCATCTCCTGAATCTCGTCGGGGAGGGGCCCGTAGGGGCTCGGGTCCTGCTGGCCGGGCCGGTTGCCGTAGCCCGAAGACGGCGCCGTGGCCGGAGTTCCAAACGCGCCGGGGCGGGACTGGATGGGCGGCGTCGAGTACCGCGAGGGGGGCAGCGAGATCATGTCGCGCTGCAGGTCGACCATGTCTCGCGGGTACGACGTGGCCGCGTTGTGGCTGGCCAGCTCCTGGAGGTTGTAGGGGTCGTGCCGAGACGGCGCCGGCGACGGCGGGCCAGTCGGATCCATGTCGTCGACGCGGATCGGGCTGGCGGGGCTCTTCTTCTATTTGGAGCGTTGATTTGGGTCTCGATGACACAGCACAGGGGGAGAGTGGTTTCACTTCGCAGGGCAAAGACGGTCGGTGTCTGGGATCCTTTTTTTCGATCGACAACAAGGGCTCTCAGCTCCTTCTTGTGTTTTTAAAAGACTGCTGGGTGGTGAGGTGATCCTTCTCAAAGCGAGGCGGGCGTGAAAGGGGCTCGTCGGGCAGTCGTCTTTCAGAACCGGCTTTCTTTTCTGCGCGGCGCCGCGGCGTCGTGAAAGCGCAGGCTGAAAGAGATTGTCTCTTGGAGAATATCCTAGAGGAGACGGGAGAGAAGAGAGCGGGAAAGAAAGAGGAAAGAGAAAGGGTGTGCCGATGTCTTTGATATAGGTCAGGCAAGGTCTGGGGGCTGAGGAGGTCGATCGATATCTTCGCGGCAGTGGTGGGCAGGCCGTTTCTGGATGCTGCGATCCTTGTCGACGCTTGGGGCCGCGGCTGTGGTGGGGTTTAATAGGCATCACGGGGGGGAGTGTCAGCCACCATCGTCGGGCTCCGACCAGCGTCGCGGGCGGCGGGACCCGCAGCAGCAGCAGCAGCAGCAGCAGCAGCAGCAGCAGCGCGCACACCGTCAGGGGCACTTACACACGAAAGAAACGAGCGGTCAAACGCGGCCGGCCAAGGCACGAGCGAGCTGCGGATGTTCGTTAGTGGGGGGGCGTCTCTGACAGGTTGCTGTCGTGGCCCGCAGGTCCGACTTTTCTCTCCCTCTTCTTTGCGGGCGGGAGGCCAGAGGCCGCGGGGTGTGCGACAAGATAGTGGCGGCGGCGGGCGAACGTGCTGCTCACTTGGCCAAGCGCATGTGCAGGGCTAGTGTGGGTATTTTTTTTTCTTTGTTGGATCCCAGGAGGGGAGGAAGAGAGGCCTGTCGAGTGACAGCAAGCGTCGGACTGCGGCGTCAGGAGCAGCAACAAGTCGGAAAAGAGGCGGGCAGATTTGCCCGTCTGTGTGTTGCGTGCGTGTTCGTCTTTGTCGAACCCTGGCCAACCCGTTTTCCCTCTCTTTTTCCTTTCTTTTTTTTTTCCCTTTCCTTGTCGGGGTGGGAAGTGGGTGTTTGATGACAAGAAAGGCAGACGAGGGGCGTTTTATTTTGCATCGTTTCTTTTTTTTCTGGATGCATCGACGCCTTCTGGATACGCAATATCCCATGGGCGCCACGGGTTGTCCGGCTGCGGCGACGCTCTAGGGGCCCGACGGACCTCCTCCCTGAGAGCTGTGTTGCCGTTTTCAGCACCCATCGCGGAGGACGGTGCCAAGGGCAGGGGCGCCCGGGGCGACGAAATTGGACTAGACGTGGACGTGGTCTGGTCACATTTGGCTTCTCGCCAGGCTACTCCTGTCTCTTTCCTTTTCGGACCTGTCTTTTTTTTCTTCTTTGTTTCCCGGGCCTATCTTTTCTTTTCTGTTCCGAATATCCCCTCTGTGCCCCCTCCTTGCCAGTGGAGAGCTCTCGCTGCAGGTTCGTTTGCGCAACCGGCAAGGATGGGTATAATTAGACCGCTGCCTTGCACGAGTTATGCCGAGGCCAGATTCTAGGGTCTGATATCCATCATGAGCTGCACTCTTATCACTGCACACACGTCACTGCATCGACCGGCTCAGATCGGGCGTGCCAGAAGCGGACGGCTAGCAGCTGGGTGAGACCTCCATCCTCAGGTACCAGACCGGATGCGCTCTCCTGTGACCGGCGGGTTCTCGAACACACGCCACAGGCCGGCAGCCAGCAGGCTTTTTTTTTCGTCTCCTTTCCCTCTTGAGTTTGGTTTGGCCACTCCAGATGTGCTAGCTAGCTGGAATGGTGGGTTGTGCGGTGTGTGTGTGTGGTGTGTGGTGTGTGTGGTGTGTGTGTGTGTGTGGGTGTGTGTGGTGTGTGTATGTGGGCGGGAGGGCGTGCGTGCGTACGTGCTGTTCCATGTCGTGGATTGGAATGGAACGCGGCCGTTTGCCGCCCCGGAAACAGACCAGCGAACGCAGGCCAATCTCAATTCCTCAACCTTCCGTCTCCATCTCACCGAGACAGCCAGCTAGCCAGCCCTCCAAAGTCGAGAGCGCCTTGGCCGTCAACTTCCCTTTCCGTCCTAGCCCGCGCGTGACTGCACAGCATTCTTCGCATCTCAGGGAGAAAAAACCCCGCGTGCAGGGGGTGGAGAGAGAGAAAGAGACGGAGAATCCTCCGACTTTTTTTTTTTCCTTTTCTTTCTTTGATGTCTCCTGGTCCCGTCGCCACTCGCGCCCCCCTAGACCGCTTTGGGAAGACACAGGAATGAATCGGCCAAAACTAGCAAGACAGCGGAAGGCGCGGGGGTGGCGGGCTTTACTGGCTCTCTTCTGGCTCTTCTGGCGGTTACGTGGGGCATGGAGTACGCCGCGCTCCCCCTCCTGCAAGGCAAGAAGGCTAGCCTTGCAACTAGACGAAAGGGTTTCGGTGTGCGTGCGTGTGAGGGGAGGCGCCGGGCCGCATGCAGGGTACCTGGCAGCGGCAGTGACATGGCTGGCTGGCTTGCTGGTTGGCTGGGTGTCCTGTGGCGCATCGGCGTTGCTTCTCTCCCTCTCCTCTCTCGGCTCGCGGTGTTGGATCGAGCCAGCCCACGGGCCATTGCGCCAGGGAGGGTGGATTACTCCTTCAAGCCCAGCCGGACGCCCGCCTGCATTAGCCCGACAAGTCTGATTGGATAGCAGCGAAACAGCAAGGCTCTAATGGAACGCTGTCAAGGAACAGGGGAGGGCATCTGAGGGCCGGCTGACCCTGGCATTTAGTTCATTCTCCCTTTTTGTTTTCTTTTTTGATTTGACAGCCATAGACCACACATCTATTTCGCAGGCTGAGCGTAGGTGTTGGTTAGTCCACTTTACTGCGAGACAGGACCGGTCCTCCCCGGTGACAACCGACCAGTCACTCGGCATATTAGCGAAGCTCCATCCATCCATCTCCAGCCCCAAAACCTACAGCCTATCCGCGCGAGGATACTACCGTTTGTTGAAAGCACAGGACCCAACACATCATGAAACAGCTGACAGATTATATGGATTCAAAACAACCAAACGCCGTTCTCGGGCTTTCTATGTAGAATTCCTGACTTGCCCGATAATGCACCCCTTGACTCCAGCTTTGCCCTGATGGTGCCTAGGGCTTTGATCGCCCCTGAGCCTTGCGGACGGAGAAAGGAAAACAGGAGAGCGACGCAAAGACAAAAAAAAAGTGATCGAAATACAAGTGGGGAAAAAAGCAAAGAAAAACAGGCCAATAGGCAAACTATTCTCCCAAAATCCAGGTCTATCATTACCGACACCTCGGAACCAAACAAGAGAGAAAGATTCCATGAGCGCCACTGGTTCCCGTCCAAAACTGCAATCCATTGTGATGTGACAGCCGAACCTGACAAAGACGGCATTCTGGAAAAAGAACCATCGTGACAATCGATCAAAAGTAATTCCGCGGCTGGGATATATCGACCGAGCGCAAGGCGCATTTTTGCAGGATAGCTAGACAATGCGCACCATGGTGGCTGGGCGCGGACTAGTTGATTCCGTTGGAGAAGCTGGATCCCGGCGTCGACGGCTTGACTGGCGGTGTCAGGTCCAGAGGACGCGGAGACGGGGAAAGCGCTGCGATGGGAGGCAGGACAGGAGGCGCGGGACTGGAGTTGGGTAGTATCACATGGACAGTGGCAGGGTGCAGCGAGGGCGAGTGCTTTGTCGGAGACACGCCGGCACTGGACGGTGGTAGAGGCGATGCCTTGTGGGCCGACAAAGGCTCTGGGTAGCCTGCCTTTAGCTGCGGCGTTGTTACCAGCGAAGTCTTGTTAGCCCCAGGAGTGGCCTTTGGCGATGTGCCTCGGGAGGGAGCCCTGGAGCCCGGCTGCTGTTTTGACGGCGAGCTCAGCCTCACGCTGGAGAGTTCGACGCGTGGCAGGACTGGCGGCAGGATGGGTGTTGTCGATATGCGTACGCGCCCATTCGCCTTGGCCTGGTGGCCATTCTGGCCGCCCAGCGCTGCTGTTGGGCTAGACTGCTCAAAGACGGTGTTGTACGCCCGGGCCTTGTTCGGTGACAGGCTGGGAGGTGACAGGTCTGGGTGCGGTGACGAGAAGGGGTTATGGGTCCCGTTCAATACCGCCTTGGACAGCCCAGATGACCCTGGGCGATTATGAGGCGCCGGCGCAGGCCCAGCGGACTTGATTGGGATAGTGAAACTGAGCTGCTCGGGGGGCGGAGGGAGCACCGGGGAGCTGTTTGGCACCATGGAGATGTCGCCCATCTTGGGCGTCTTCTCAGTGGCAGCAGCCCCGCCGCCCGGCTTGCTGGAAAGCTCGATAGTTGGTCCGGACGCGGCTCTTGCGCCATCCTTTGACGGGGGAGCCGCCTTAGGGGTCTCGGGAGACGAACTGGCAGAGCCGAGCTTCAGCTTGATGACGGTCGCGTGCCCACGTGGCCTCTGCTTCCCCTCCTGGAGTTTGCGGCAGTGGACGCAGATGAAGTGGAAATCGTCGCTCTCGGCCTCCTTCTGGTCAATGCCCAGGCATTTGCTGTGCTGCCAGACGTTGCACCTCTCGCACGAGACGCTGTGCTCGCCATCGTCTACCTGTCCATGCAGACCGCATACACAGTCGAACACCCACTCATCCTCTTCGTCCTCCAGCTCCTTGAGCGCCTTCTTGGCCCTTTGGATCTCGGCCTCGCGGCGCCTGTCCGACATTCGGCCAGCCCCCGATCCAACACTCCTGCTGTCCTCGGAGAGGTGCGCGAGCTCCTCCTCATGCTGAAGCCGGCGCGCCTCGCGCTCACGGAGCCGCTTCTCCCTCGACATGAGCCGCGAGCTCCGGTCCTTCTCCCGCTTTCGCTCCAGCTCCTGTTGTTTCCTGGCAGCAGCCTCCTCAGCGAGCCGCTTGCGCACCTCTGTCTCGGCCTGCTCGTCGACTTTCTGCCTCTCAGCCTTATGCGCCAGGCGGCTGGACCTCTTTGCGTTCGCCATCTTCTCCAGAGTCATGAGCTCCCGCTCGCGCTCCTTTTGCTTCTTGATGCGCTTCTCCTCCTCGCGCTCAAGTGTGGGGACCAGGTGCTCGAGCAAGGTGTCCCTTAGCACCTTTTCGTTGCCATCCCTCGTCTTCTGCAAGGGGGCGAGGAAACGCCGAACATCATCCAAAGTGACGCAAATACATTCCCATTTGGCGCCTCCAAGCCCGTCATCCAAGAGTATGTCCTTGGCGGTCTCCTCTGGCGCGTCGTTTTCGGTTTGCGCGTCGTCATCGGGTCCTTCGGTTCCGCTGTCGACAGCTTCGGAGATTCGCCTTCGTTTAGCCGCCCTGGCCATAGCTCTCGCCTTCTTAGAGTTCTTTTTTGGCTTGGGTGCCGCAGGGGTCGGGGGCGGTGCCTCGGTCAGCTTGTAGAGCCGGTTGTCGTCGAGAAGAAAGTAGGTGTTTTCGTCCTCATCCCAGCCAACTGGCTCGACTCTCTGCATATTTGTTAGTCCACAGAACACGGTACCCCATTGCGGCGACAGTTGAGGTCGAGCGTACCCAGGCAGTGTGATCGTGGTCGGCCTCTTTGAGCTCCATCATTCGTTCCCGGAGCTTCTCGGGAGATCTCAGTATGAGCTGGGTCATCTGGTGAAGAACACGAATCTGCAAAGCGATTTTTATGTAAGATGACAGGGCTTGGCAAGCGTCACTGGCGGCAGGTCTGGAGGCGGGAGGGCCAACCTTTTGGAAGACATCGAAGTCGGCAAACTTCAAGAGCGCATCTTCCGTGCCAAAGGGGTTCTCGATTCCCGGGGCCTTGGCTGCGAACTGCCGTCTCGTGTACTCGTCGAAGATATCGTGCCTGTGCGCAGCGATGATGGTGAGCGGGGCCGACCTCAGTCTGGGACTCATGACGGGGTGGGGAAAACGTACGTCAGTCCGCGATGTGACGAGAGGAACTTGAGCATGCCAAGCCCGAGTTCTTGCAGCGCAAGTGAGAACGGTTTGAGGCATTCGGCCTCCAGCTCCTATGCGGCAGATACGGCGTCAGCGCAATCAGTGAGAACAGCGGAGGGCAAGGTGGCGGGCGGGGTGGCTCGTACATTGATGTCCGGAGCGTCAATCTTGAGCGCAGAGCCGAAGATGGTCAGAAATTGAACGACATTGGCCAGCTGCCACATGTCCCTGATGCGCTGCAACAAAGAAGGCTCCTTGTGATTCAGGGAATCATCGCCGTCCACCTCATCAATCGCGCGCTTCCTGGAGGATCTCATGGCTGGATGAGACACCCCCAAAGATCTAGATTGCTGACTGGTGGGCACGGATCGTGGTCGGCAGAGACGGGCGGCTGAGAAGTCGCAGCGATGCGATGGAGAGAAGTGTGCGGAATCTGGGAGGCGAAGTGATGTTGCCAAGACAGGTGTCAGGTCGCGTCATGACAGTTGCAGGCTGACGGCAAGTGTTGCAGAGCCGGCCTTCGGAGTTCGAGGGCAGGGCGTTGGGATTGTAGCTCGTTCAGCAACCGAAAGCGACAGGTGCAGCGAAATTGGCGACTTTTGGTCGACTGGACTTTTAGTCGGCTGGGCCCAGTCTCCGAGCGCGGGAGCGAAAGACGCGGTTCAGGTATCAATTTGCGGCTCAAGCGACGCGATCTGGCGGGCCTGCGTTTGGCGCGACGTGCTTTTGCTGTGCGCAACCTTCTCAAACGACTGCCCTGGTTCGGCCCGGAAATTTAGTTAGTGGCTCCACCTTATTGGGGGATGGAGCTCCTGAAAGTTCCCTTGGATCTCAGCGTGGGGTGGTGGGAGTCACGTGGAAGCGGCCGGCTCTCGACTGTCAGCTGCCTCAGCATGAACAAAAGCACGTGCACCGGATGACCTGTCAGTTCCTCTCACTCTGCGCTGCTGGCTGTGAAAGCTCGGAAGGCAAAGTGCCTTTTGCGCCCTGACTGGCACGGTTTCAGGAACCAGGGGTACCTGGGTATGGCTGGCTGCCGTAATCGACAGTCTTCCCACAGACACTGTGGGTGGCCCGCATTAAACGGATGGGACGAGCGATGTTCCTTGCTCTGATGTTTTTCTTTTTGATTTTTGTGTTCGTCCTGTTTATCAGCTCTGCCGTCCCGCGGTGGACGGCTTGGCGGGGCATCTCGAGTCTGGGTTGGACGCGCCCAAGAAGGATTTCTCGATGGCCTGGGCTGTTCCAAAGGCCTCTCCTCTTAAGGTGTCTGAGCCATGGCCCCCATAACCCCTCCCCACCCTTCCACAGGCACATGGCAAGGGGCAGAAGCGCAGGCAGCGACCTGACATATCGCGTATGTACCTGTTCTGCGCTTAGGTGAGAAAGCGCCAGCTGCGCATAACATGCTGCAGCCGGCAACACACTCCCGAGACTTCGAACCAACCGCCCACGTTGTGCCGTAACACCCGCGGCCATGGCACGGCTCCGTGATCGCTGGTTCGCTGCCTGCGCGATACACTGGGGCAGCTTTGCGCGGCCTCCCCACTGACAGCCAGGGCATCCTGGCTGGCACAGCCTGTCGTTCTCCACAATTGCTGTCGGAATGGAGATCTAGCACAGTGCCCAAACGCGACGCCATTCTTGGACGGGCCCCAACTGCTGTTTGGTCTTGGAAAGGGGCTGAGTCTGAGTCGATGGAGCTGAAAGCCACCCCCAAGAAGCCCTACGGCCAGCAATCATGCTTCTCGCATCAGCACGGCAAAACGCCAGAGACGGGCCAAGTTTCAATCCGCCATTGACGTCGTTGCCGATTGCCTACCTCTCTGCTTCCCGACTCGAGGCCGGCCTGCCATTCACTATCGTCGCTGCGAGCGCTTGCGGCCGCTCGAGCCGTCTCTGCCTGTCGAGCGGGCCACCTAGGGACAGGTCCCTGGAGCCGAACCCGCCTCGCAACTCGCGCGCTGCCGGGTCGCCACCTTTCGTTTCTCCCCGCGTTTCCCGAGGATGTTGCCGACCCGATCTTGACGTCGAACTGGCAGGTGCATCAGGTGCATTGTTCTCCGGTAGAGCGCCGAGAGCTCCTCGGAATCCAAGACTCGTCACGACCCCTGGGGCCTTCTCGCTGCCGCTCCCAGAGGGGCGCCCCCAGATCACAAGATGGCAGACCCCTCGAGGTACACGCCACAGCCGCCCTACTACCAAGCGCAGGGCCCAGAGAACCCCCAGGAGCCTGAGGATCCCGCACCGCGCACTCGGCAATCAATAGCGCTAGAGAACATGCCGCGCCCGCCAGATTTCGGAGCATACGACATGAGTGGGTATGGGGATAGCAATGGATCGCGCATGGGGTCTGGCATGGCGCAGCAGCAGCAGTACGGAAACCAAGGCTTTAGAGCGGCCTCGGCGCCGGCGCCGGCGCCGGCGAGCCCCCCGATGCTCTCGACGTCCTGGGGGAACAACCTCGATGTTCCCCGCGATGACCCCGCGAGTGCCCACTCTCCCATCGACCCCCTGGCACTACAGTTTGCCCTCCCTCCCGAAATAAACCAGCGTCGATCGCCTTCGTTGCAGCCAGAACACAGAGCGTCGAGTGCTGTCTACGCACCCCCAGCAATGTACTACGAGGAGCAGCCTCACCACGTACACACCGACTCGGTCGACTCAGACCGCGCGCCGCTGGCCCCTAATGCGCAGCCAATCTCGGGGAACCTCGCCACTCCTATGGCGGACGGTCATCCTAGAACCAGTTTCCAGACCGTCAACGATGCTGATGCGACCCCCTCGCGGTCCAGAGACACCAGAATGCTGGGCTTCGATCTGGAGCCGGGCTACAGCGGAAGCTCGTCCCAACACCACAGCTTCGGCAACTCCCTGACCCCTGAAGGGCCCCGGTCACGCTCCAACTCGACCGTGGGCGCCCTATCGCGGACCGCCTCCATTGTTCGGGCCATGTCTCAGCGTGTCGTCAACATCAGTGGAGAAGGTGAGCTGATCGAGCAGCAGAACCGCCGCTCGCGCTCCAGGTCGCCGGGCACAGACCAGAGGAACTCGAGCCCGATGATGGCGACCGATACCGCGTATCACTCCCAACTGTACCCGACGCCCCTGGAGAAGCAGCAAAGCGTCCCCGAGGTCGCCGAGGCCCACCCTGCAAACAGGTTTCAGGAGCCGCCGCGCCGGACCGGGCCCATGCCGAACCCGCTCAAGGGAAAGTCCCTCGGCATCTTCGGACCCAACAATCCCATCCGCACTATTCTATGCGACATTCTGGTGCTGCCTTGGACGGAACCCATCATCCTTCTGCTGATTGTCCTCCAAGCCGTCCTTCTGGCTGTCGAGTCCGCTCCCAGCGTCTTCGACCAGCCCAGACCTGGTCGGTTCGGGACCCCTATAGACTGGGCCATCCTGGGGCTGTTCATAGTCTTCACTTTTGAAGTCATCGCGCGCATCGTCGTGTCCGGCTTCGTCCTTAACGCGGCCGAGTACAGCACCATCGACAGGAAGCGCGGGGTCAAGGTTGCAATGACGCAAAGGTACAAGCAAATATTTCAGCCACAGCGCCAAAAGTCCGTCCGTCGCGCCACGGTCCCTGAGCACTACGGACCCTCGACCTTTGCACGCTCCATCACCATAATGCAGGGCCAGATGGTCCCCGAGACCATCGAGGAGCAGCAGCGCATGCAGCTCGCCCGCAGAGCTTTTCTGCGCCACGGCTTCAACCGTCTGGATTTTGTGGCGGTCGTGTCCTTCTGGATATCGTTTCTCTTGGCCTTGTTTGGCAAGGAGAAGGAACTCCACCTCTATGTGTTCAAGATGCTCAGCTGCTTGCGCATCGTCAGGCTGCTTGCTATTACTAAAGGCAATGCTGTGAGTATACAGCCCTTCCTTGCCTCCTGTCTCCCTACTGTCCCACGCACGTACGCCCCTATGGTTTCTAACCGTGTCCGTGCTTTCTGCCGATAGATCATCTTGCGTAGCTTGAAAAAGGCCGCACCACTCCTGGTACGCGTGTCGTTCCTGATCTGCTTCTTCTGGCTTCTATTCGCAATTATTGGCGTGCAGAGCTTCAAGTCCAGCTTCAAGCGCACATGTGTCTGGCTCGATCCCGCGCAGCCCGGTAACGAGTCGCTCTCGTGGAACAGCGAGAACCAGTTCTGTGGCGGGTATCTTGACCCTAACAAAACTGGCGAGGACACGTCGGCGTTGCCCTGGGATCGTTTGATAGATCCGGACGACCTGACGGCCAGGGAACAGGGCGCTGCAAAATTCGCCAAGGGCTTCATCTGTCCGCGCGGCTCCATCTGCTTGGAGCAACAGAACCCCAACAACAGCACTGTCCACTTCGACAACATCCTCAACTCTCTCGAGATGGTTTTCGTCATTATGAGCGCCAACACGTGGTCCAACCTCATGTACCGCACAACCGACACCGACTATCTCCCGGCTGCCCTCTTCTTCATCGCCGGCATTCTAATCATGATGCTGTGGATGACCAACCTGCTCATCGCTGTCATCACGTCCTCCTTCCAAATCATCCGCGAAGAAAGCAAAGCCAGTGCCTTCGCGGCAGACCAGGAGACCTTTAACCCAGTGCAGGGGGACGACCCGTTGAAGAGGCAATCAACGCTGCAGCGAATCTACGCCAAGACGTCGCTGGTCTGGGTCCTCATCATTGCCTTTGACCTCCTGGCGCAAGCTTGGCGGAGCGCGCGCAGCAGCGATGCGAGGCTGACCTTCATCAACCGCACCGAGGTCGTGGTAACGATCCTCCTCGCCGTTGAGATGGTGATTCGGTTCGCTGCGGATTGGAGGCACTTCCACCGCCGGGCGAGGAACCTCGTGGACCTGCTCCTGGCTGTGGTCACCACCGTGATGCTGGCCCCACCGATCCAAGAGTCTGGCCAGGTGTATGAGTGGCTGACCGTCTTCCAGATCTTGAGGGTCTACCGCGTTGTCATGGCGATCCCCGTCACCAGCAAGCTGATTCGGCTCGTGCTGGGTAACGCGACGGGTATCGCAAACCTGATGGTTTTCGTTTTCCTCATCACGTTCCTCATGTCCATATTTGCCTCGCAACTCTTCCGCGGCCTCCTTCCGGCGAAGGCGGGCGACAAAGACATCAAAGTCACTTTTGCAAACCTATACAACTGCTTCCAGGGCATGTATCAGGTCCTGACCAGCGAGGACTGGACCGATCAACTATACAACATCACAGGCGCCACGGCCGGCTTCGGCACTGCCTGGATGGCTGGCATCTTCTTTGTTGGCTGGTTCATCCTCTCGTACTTTATTCTCATCAACATGTTCATTGCTGTCATCCAGGAGAACTTTGATGTCAGCGAGGACCAGAAGCGTTTGGAGCAGGTCAAGGCGTTTCTGCAACGCAGAGAGCTCGGGTCGTCCAGCAACCTCTCCTTCTCCAAACTCTTCACCTTTGGCCGCCAGCGCAAGAGGGACCCGCTGGACTACGGCCCAGCGATGATGGAGATGCTTCTGAAGGAGGCTGTGGTGAAGGACTTCCTTGACGACGATGCCATCGATCCCCTCCAGCGGGCCCCGACCTTCCACACGCCAAACGCCCGAGGGCCCGCCAACGGCCCCATCATCCAAGCCGGGCGTCTGGGGACTGTGTGGGCAAAGGTGACGTCGGTGTTCTCAAGCAAGGATCCCAACCCGTTCTACTCCAACGTGCGTTTCGACGGGCCCAACGAGAACCTGGACGCGCGACAAATGGCTCACCAGGCCGTCTCGGCCGCGACGGCCCGGCGCAAGGCGCAGCGCGAGTATCTTGGCCGCCACCCGACATACAACAACTCGCTTTACATCTTCACACCCAAGAACCCGATTCGGCGGCTGTGCCAGCGTCTGGTTGGCCCAGGTCGCGGCATCGAGCGCATCGACGGCGTCGAGCCCAACAAGTATGCCTGGTACATCTTCTCGGCCATTGTCTACGCCATCATTGTGACCATGGTCGTGCTCGCCTGCATCACCACGCCGCTCTACCAAAAGGAATACCGCGAGAGGAAAGACTTCAGCCTCCGCAACTGGTTTGTATGGACAGACCTGGGCTTCGCAGCCTTCTTCGCCGCTGAGGCCGTCATCAAGGTCATTGCCGACGGCTTCTTCTTCACGCCCAACGCCTATTTCCGGAGCTCTTGGGGTGCCATCGACGGGGTCGTGCTCGTCACGCTGTGGATCAACGTCGTTACACTCCTGGCCAACCAAGGGACCGTGTCGCGGGCCATCGGGGCTTTCAAGGCGCTGAGGGCGCTGCGCCTGCTGAACGTCAGCGACAGGGCAAGAGACACGTTCCACTCGCTCATCATAGTGCAGGGCTGGAAGATCATCAGCGCCGCCTTTGTCTCGCTCTCGCTGCTGATCCCGTTCGCCATCTACGGCCTGAACCTATTTCACGGCCGGATGATGCAGTGCAACGATGGTGACGGTGCCCCCCTGCTGGACGACTGCTTTGGCGAGTACAACAGTACCCCGTTCAACAATGACTGGCCGATGCTCGCACCGCGCGTGGCCAAGAACCCCAGTTTCAGCTTTGATGACTTTGGCTCATCCCTTTTCATCCTGTACCAGATCGTCAGCCAGGAGGGCTGGACTGACGTCTCGTACGCGGCGCAGTCGGTCACGCAGCGTGGTGCGCAGCCCGAGTGGGGCAACCGCCCCGGCAACGGCATGTTTTTTATCATCTTTAACCTCCTGGCAACCGTCTTCGTGCTCACGCTGTTCATATCCGTCTTCATGCGCAACTACACGGAACAAACGGGCGTGGCCTTCCTGACGGCGGAGCAGCGAGCGTGGCTCGAGCTCCGCAAGATTCTGCGTCAGATATCGCCGTCCAAGACGTCATACGACGAGTCCAGGAACAAGTTCAAGCAGTGGTGTCACAAGCGCGCGATCGAGAAGAGGGGCAAGTGGTACACGGCCATCACCGTGATCCTGGTCATGCACCTCATTCTGCTTCTGGTGCAGTACTACGAAGAGCCCAAGTGGTGGGAGATGACGCGGGACTACATATTCCTATTCTTCACCGTCATATACCTCGCCAACGTCTGCGTCCGGGTCGTAGGCCTGGGCTGGGCGAGGTTCCGGCGGAGCTCGTGGGATCTCTTCTCGCTTGTGGCCGTCACAGGCACGCTCCTGACGACGATCTTCTACCTGGCCGACATGGAACAGGAAGTGGTCATCCAGCTGCATAAGTCGTTTCTGGTGGCCATAGTGCTTCTCCTGATCCCGCGCAACGACGCGCTTGACCAGCTCTTCAAGACGGCGGCGGCCAGTCTGACGACGATCGGCAACCTTCTAGCCACCTGGTTCGTCTTCTACATCATGTTTGCCATCGCCATGACGCAGGCATTTAGCCTGACGCGGTTTGGTACCAACGAGACCAACAACCTGAACTACCGCACCGTCCCCAAGGCCCTGCTACTCCTCTTCCGCTTCAGCGCCGGGGAGGCATGGAACACCATTATGGAGGACTATGCCGCGCTCGAAGCGCCGTTTTGCGTCGACGACCCAAACAACTTCTTCCTGAGCGACTGCGGGAGCACGGCATGGGCGCGGGTGCTCTTCATAGCGTGGAACATCATCAGCATGTACATTTTTGTCAACCTTTTCGTGTCACTGATCTACGAGAGCTTCTCGTACGTGTACCAGCGCTCCAGCGGTCTCGATGTGGTGGATCGCGACGAGATACGGCGGTTCAAAGAGGCGTGGCGCAGCGTGGACCCGCAGGGCACCGGCTTCATCAGCAAGGAGGCCTTCCCTAGACTGTTGGGCGAGCTGTCGGGCGTGTTCGAGATGCGCATTTACGACGCCGAGGACTCGGTGGGCCAGATCCTCGACGATGTGCGTAGCGACAAGCCGCCAGACAACCGCCACTCCTCGATCGTGTCCCAGTCTGCCTTTACCGGCACGGGCATCGACCTGCAGAGGCTCAACGAACGTCTCGCGCGCATCGATGTGGACAAAGTGCGCGAGCGCCGACGCCGTTACAACCTCTTCTTTGAAGAGATCATGGTGCTGGCCGACCCGGACAAGGGCATCGCCTTCGGCACTGTGCTGATGATCCTGGCGCATTACAACATCATCAGCGACAGCAAGAGCTTGAAGTGAGCAAAACATGCCCTGCCTTGATTCTTTGTGCCTGGTATACACAGCTTTATGGCCGACCAACTAACGCAACCCGCTTTGCTACGCAGACTCGAGGAGTTCCTACGTCGACGCGCCAGGCTTCAGCGAGTAGAGGAAGAGGTTCGCCGAAGAGTCGTGCAGGGATTCTTTGACACTTTGTAAGTTGCCACGAGCGCGCTGTTCTGTTTCCGGCACCCAACTCGCATACTAACGCAGCCGTGTGTCATGTTGTAGGTTCTGGACCAGGCGGTTCAGGCGACATATGGAGCGCAAGCGCTCGGCACGCATGACCAACATACCTCAACTCGACGTGCCCGAGATCCTGGTCGATAACGAGGACGACCTAGCCGGAGGCGGGACGCCTCTGACCCCGACATCGCCGTTCCCGGCACACAACCGGGCACAGTCCAGCTTCCTCAGCGCCGACAATGCGCGCAATGCCATGATGTCGCAGCACCACCACCGATCTTGGTCCGGGGTCAGCGGGGACGTGGCGACGTGGAATCAAGAACAGCAATACGGCGGACACCCGCTTGGGCAGCCAACGTCGACAGGCGGAAGGCTAGGCGGGCAATCCATATCGCCGGGCGGATGGGATGACGGCAGCAGCAGCCACAGGTATAATCATTCGGCCTTCAGCTTTGAGCTGCAGGATCCCATGGGCTCCGGCTCCGGCGGCGGCGGCGGCGCTAGTGGTGGTGGTGGTGGTGGTGGTGGTGGTACTGGCTCTCAGCCCGGCAGTGGCCCCAACAGCAGGCGCGGTAGTGTCATCAGCCCCTCGCAGGCCCGCGAGCTCCTTGACGATTCGGTCTGGGTCGAGAGTATCCGGAAGAGCGCGACGGTCCGCCGAAGCGATTGGGCCGGTCGAGGCAGCGGCGGTGCCGGCGGCAGCGGCTTCTAATCACCTAATACCTTTGATTACTTTTCACTCCCTACCTCTCCTTTGACTGTTTTATCACCACCGCCGAGACCATCGGGTGAAGGCGGCACCCATGTCCACGTCGCCATGACTATCAACAATATCAATGTTCCTATGTTTACACGGAGGCAGGCGGACGGGCTCATGGAACCGAGAGTCGGCAAATTTAATACCTCTCTTGCCATGTATTCCTCTCTGGTCGTCTGTTATGTCTCTATTACTTTGGCTATCTCTCCCGTTTTTCTATCTGTGGCTGGGATAACGAGCTAGACGTAGTACACTAGTAGCTCGCCCAACTCCCTCGGTAAATACTGGTGGATCATCTTGACTTTAGGGGGTGGTTTTGTTATTCATTGCCACAAGGGCGACCAGACCGTCCTTGTGACAATGTGTAACACGATCATCGGCATGAACGCCAAAGCTCAAGATTATCCACCTGTATTTGTCGAAAGAGATGAGCGAACTACTGGTTTACCACGTCTACTTCGTCATCCTTGCTTTTGACCACGAGATGGACGCTTGGGAACAACAAACCCGACACCAACAGCCCCTACCTTTGGCGACCCAAACCGTATCTGCTTCTCCTATTCCTCTCCCTGCGTGTCCCTTGCCCTTTACTCGCCGGCGTCTCTGGCTCGAAGCGCTTGGCGATGGGATGGAATGCCGCGGTTAGAAAGGAGGCGGGTGATGCAACAACATTGGAAGCAAGCGTTCAGCGACAGTCGGCCTGGATTGTTCTTGGCAGAAGTCTATGTGTATTCAAGCGCATCTGTTTTGTCGTCGTCGGGGTTCCCTTCGCCACGTGCTTCAATGTCTGGTCTATTCAATGCTCCCCTGATTGGATTTGTCCTCTTTGAGCTATTTCTGGCTGTCGCCTGCTGCCTTGCTAGGCAGGTACTATGCATTTGTATTTGTGTTCTTTTTTCCGTGCTGAGACCGGGACGAGGGCGATCAGTGCTGAATAAAAAGGCCCAGATTCCACAGGGATGCCTCATGTAAGGGCACAGTGGGACCAAGTAAGTACAATAAGTACCTACCAGCCCGGGCTCGAGGGCCTCTCTCCCTCTCAGGTTTGTCATGACCCTCCCCCAATCAATGTCTCACTAGCGCCGCCGCTTGGGAGGGTTGGGTCCCTTGCCGACGATCTATGCCCCCCAGGGGCTCGGTTCTACTTGCTTCACGACGCGATCCAGCACACTCTCCTCTCCGCCTCACGGCTCTCAGGGACCCAGCCGTGTGAGAAATGCGGACGGCGGATAAGGGGGGAAAGAGGGCGAAAGAACAAACGCACACGCAACGCCGCACACGCAGAGCCTGAGATCGACGCCAGACGGCTTCTCCGAGCCCCTCTCGGGGGTGAAGTGGGTGGGAGGGTGGGAGGGCGCAGCGGGGAGAGGGGAGGGGGGGCACGGGCTTGTTCACGCACTGCGCGAGTCCGTCTAAATATGGACGGCGGTGACAACCCTGCTCCCCTTCTCAGCCAGGAGGCCCCCTCGGGGATTCGCGGAGAGATCTCTGTCGAAAACGAAGCCGCCCGCGGGTGCCAGGCGAGGGCGGATCGACGGCAAGGAAAGGGGCTCGACGGGCTTTGTGTTGTGGATAAGGGCGAGGAACGGAGTCGGGTGCCCGAGCACCAAACACCAGCACCAGCATTCGTTGCCGTGCGGTTCACGGGCTCACGGACAGTAAAGATCCAAAGTCAAGGGGGGGTCTGAAAAGGGCCGGACGCATAGACGGGAGCCCCTATTGTGAGAATGCCTTGTTTGTGATGGAGGCTAATCGGATTGTGATGGGCTGATTGACACTAGCACCGCGTCCCACAAAGTACCGCCACAGACATTCCCTTGTTTCTTGCGTGCTTGCCCAGACGTGGAACGCATCCCTCGATAGTTGAGGCGGGCTTCATTGTCAGTTGGAGACATGGCGCGACGGCTTGAGGGAGTCCATCTTGGATAGACAGTATCCAGCAGACACCCCCCTCAAGAGATGGCCGATTCAGGCTCAGCCGAGGACGATGTGGGAGGTGGGAGCGCAACGGAGAAGCCCGTCACGTGGGGCCTGGCTCTCTGCAAATGTTCCAGAAGACTTCTTTTTGATGGAGCCCTGTTGGTGGGGCGCTGCTAGGTACGCAGACAATGGTGGAGGCTGCCAGGGCTGCGTGCGCTGCGAATGGCCCGGCAGGAGCGAGGGAAGGAAGGGCCGTGTCAGAATCTGTGTCAACTCGGGTGGAGCTCATTGGGGCCGGCCCAGACGGAGTAGGGGCAGGGACGGCTGAAACAGTGCCGTGGGCTAGCGCAGTGGGGCTGCCTATAGGTGACCTCTGCAGCTCCCAGCTGTCAACTTGATGAAGGGGCCCGTGGGCACTCGGCTGGCGGCCAGCGAGGGACGGACTGCCAGTTGGCCAGGGGGGAAAAGGAGCAAAAGGAAGGAGACACGGGAAGACAAGCGAATCTGTCAAGCTGCGTCGACGATCAGACGACGGGGGCAGCTGCAAAAGCTGAACCACACCCTCGCCAAGCCCGCTCGCGTCGTCTCCAAAACCTCGTATGTAAACAACACCCATAACACATAACACTACAAACCCACGACCGACACAGGGGAATTGCCGGTTTGGACGGGATGGCTCGCCTGTTCTTTGTTTGTTTCACCCGCCCGCCCGCCCTGCTCTGCCCTGTGCACTCCCTTTTGTTGTTGCTGCCCGGCTCATATCCCTTCACTAGTCGACCCTCGGAGCAATCTCAGTCAGTCACACGATTGAGGGATTACATACTTGAGCATGTGCAGTACAGCTGTGGTAGCGGTGGTGGTGATGGAATCTGCACAGGCAGCGCGCCACGAATGCTTGTCAAATCGAGCAGCGTCAGTCCGCAAGATTGAAGGTCCCACGGCTGCGCCAAAGCAACGTCAAGGGCCCGCATGAAGGACGTGCGTGCTGCCAGTCGATCCCCACCCAGGTGCTTGCTTGCTCCTGCATCCACAGCAAGCGAGCAAGCCCCCCAAAACCCCACCGCAGGACCAGCTTGCTTCAAAATTCTCCGTGATGGCATTGCACACGGAAGGCGGGCATTGAGGAAGGTACCCCCGTCACCCCCCTTGGGTGGCAACGTCTACTTATAACCTGCGCCCCATTCCCAAGAGCACGCCAAGTCTGGTCTCGTCTGGTCTCTGGTCTCCTGTGCTGTGCTTCCATTCTCGAACAAGGGTCCAAATCAACAGCCTGGCGTGTGTTGACCAAAGTCTGTCTCTCGCTCTCGTCCGGCCTCCTATTCCGCTCTGACTCGCTGCCTCTCCCTTCTTGGCAGCAAGCCCACCGTCTCTATTCCGAGTCTCGAGCCTCGTCCGCGCACCAACAATACACTCCCTGCAGCCCATCCTGCAGCTCATCCGTCTTGGTCTTGCCGTTACATCCCATAAAACAGCCTGGTGCCCGTTCCCACGTCCCTCGTTTCTTTTTTGGATATATACCCATCCACCCACCCACCCGTCCAACCATCTGTCCGGGCTGAGCCTATCGCTACTCTCACCTCACTGTCTCTCTCTTTATCGCTTGTGCCACGCTCAAGCCTCGTCGACAGCCCGACCAACGGCATCGCCACCACTACCACAACAACCAACCAACACGGGCACCAGTACCCACACCAACCGCCAAGATGCAGACCTCCCGCTTCCAGACCATCGCCTCGCGCTTCTCGCCCGAGAGGCTCCGCAGCTCGTTCCGCCGCTCATCCTCGGCCTCGTCGTCGTCGCGGGCCAGCAGCAACAGCAACCGGAGCTCCTACACCACAGCCAGCATCTCGCCCGTCAACGCCATCAACAGCGTCATTGTGCGCCAGCCCTCCATCGTCGACCTCGAGGAGGAGCGCAGGAGCTTCGGCAGCGAGCTCAACCTACTCGAGCCCAGGCCCATCGTCTACTGGGGCGGCGTCGAGGAGCGCATGGGCCGCTTCTAAGCCCCCGGCTGACTGGCGATACTCCTTCACGCATGCACTCGACTTTGCCAGCGCCAAGAAGGGACAAGAACACACGCACACGAGGGGTGGTTTGACATCACGACCTGATATCTTTCACTTCTCGGTCACACCATTCACCACCAACCCTTTCTTTCCTTGTTCTATTTCCAGTATCCCTCAAGGCGAGCCACGCCTTTGAAAGAGCGCAGGCATGACTCTCCGGAAGCCGAGTCCACCCTCAACGGACCAGACTGGCCCAAAGTCCATCGGTCCGGCGGTAGCGACGATGCTCTCATTCAAGAACCACTCACGCTATTCAACGAACAACACATCTTGGGATACCGAGGGGCATGAACTACCACCACATACACCCTTTTTCTTTTCTTTATTGACTTTGCGTTTTTGCTTTATTATACCTCTTCGTTTTGGCTTTATTCATGTTTTTTTTTGTTTTTGTTTTTTTTTCGGAAACGCAGAGGGACAAGGTTCAGGGGCGCAAAAAACGGCGTTTAAGGTTACAGCAGTCTCTCTCGAGACGACGAGACTTTTGGGATTTTGGTACTACAGCGATTATCACGGGACACTACATACACTTTGACTATGGAGACGATTGAATCAAGCACTCGATTTCGAGCACCACAATTGGACGTGACCACGCCTCTCTTATCTTTCTTATTCCCGTTATTTTATTTTTATTCGTGATTTTATTCGGGGCTGCTATTGTTCTTGCTGGTGTTTCTTTTGTTATTCCTGATTTTCATTATTGTTCAACAAGCGCCGTTCCGCCATGCTAAAAATTCTCATTCCTAAGACCTGCCCGTCCTAGCGGGCAGCCTATTGTTTCGGGGGGACTGCCATTGATATTTTTGTGGTGGACCTGTGACTGTTGTTGGGCGGCGTGCTTGTCGGGTGTTATTTCGGGTGATTCCACCTCCTAGGGCTGTGAAGCCAAGTGCGTTTCAGCAGCACTATCAAGGTAACATTTCTGTTCTGCATTTATGCATTGGATGCGCGTGCCGGCTCCGGCTACAGTAGAGAGTCCGTGCTCCCGGACCGACTTCCAAAGAGCACATCATCCCGTTTCCAGTCCTGCACTGGCCTGGCCCTGACTGAGCGACGGGCGTCCTGTTCTTGCCTGAGGCCACCTGCCTGCCCATCCGCTTGTCAGGGTGCGTCCGAACACTCGTGTCGTGGTTCGTGAGTGTGCTTTCTGTCGCCCAAACCACCGCCAGCAACGACACCAGCCATGGAGGTGTCCCGTCCCGTTGTCCCCCCCTGTGACCCGGATCCGAGCTCCGTCTGACCTTTTTTGTGTCCAAGACGCTCGAGCGTCTCGTCCGGTAGAGTCCATGTATGTGCGTGGCCGAGGCCAGCGTTTTGAGAAGAATCTGATATCAACGTTACTTGCAGGCTCTTTGTTCTTGATTGCCTTTTCGGTGTGGGTGATGTTGATTTGCTGAGTGGTCATTCCCTACTGACCTACGGACCTAATCATCATCCATGCTTCTTGTTCGATGGAGTGACAACTTTTGCCAACACACACCTCCACCTTCTTTACTCACAAACCGTTGCATTGCCCACATGCCCACTTCACCTTCTCTCTTCGGTGATGCAGTATTTAAATCGCAATCCTCAACAAGCCAAATATACCACCACTCCATTTTTTCCATATGACCAGCGTCGTTTATCAAGTCGAGGAACAAGAGCTTGTTGTGTTTGATTATTTCGAATATCCTGATACCAAATAAACGACGCCAGCCGACGGCACCGCAACGGGACATGACCGAGCCAGGCAACGACCAGCCGGTCGACCCCACGGTGTGGTAATGTGATATTGCCGTCCTTTACACCACATGGAACCCAAGGAAACGGCACACGATGCCTCCACATGCACACCCCAACTTGGACGTAACGTATGAAGAAAAAAAACCCGCGCGTGCTAACACCACCACCACATATCCATCACACCGCCCGGTGCGAAACCCACCACGCACTCACGCACCCTCCCCCAAGGCTCCTAGTTGGCGGCGTCGGCCGCCCCCCTCGCAGCCACGATCGCCTCCTGCACATGTCCCGCCAGCGTAACCGGCGGGAACAGGCCGACGTGGCCTACAAGCAGGCCCGCAACGCCGTCAAGGCGGAGAGCAAGGCCGCCCTCGACCGCGAATGGGGCAAGAAGCCCGATAATATGCTTGCGTGGTACGACAAGCACCAGAAGCAGCAGCAACAGCAGCAACAGCAGCAGCAGCAGCAGCAGCGCCAAGAGGGCACCTCGCCCGCTGCCGCCCCCACGACGGAACAAGCCGGCCAAGAAGCCGGCGGCGGCGGCGACGGTGACGACAGGACAGACGCCATAATCGCCGCCGCAGTCGCCGCAGCCGTCGAGGCCGCCCTGGCCGCCGTGGAAGCCAGGGAGGCATCTGCATCTGCATCTGCTGCTGCCGCTGCTGGACGTGGCCAGCTTGGCGGCTCCGCGCCCGCGCCCGCGCCCGACGACCACGATCAGGCGGCGGCGGCGGCGGCGGACCCTTCCGGGACCACCACCACTGCTGCTGTCCCGTCCCCCGAGACCGCAGCGACAGGCGCGGCTACCACCACCCCCGGCGGCTGCTCCACGACAGGAACCCCCGCCGCCGCAACGGCCGGTCCACAGACTGCGCCGGCACCATCGCCGCCGCCGCCGCCGCCTCCCGCCTCCCATCTAGCGTCCCCATCGGTTCCAGACGGGGCCGGGGCGGGCGCTTCTCCTCGGCCTTCGGCCGCCGGGGTGACCGTTGCTGACGGTGGCACTAAGCCTACAGCTGCGGTCAACGATGACCATGTTACTCTTTCCGATACTGCTCCGCCCGAGGGCGACAAGGGAGATGACATCCAGAGCAAAACCAGCCCGGAAACTCCTTAGTTTTCAGGTGCCAGCTGAGACCAGACACCAGGGAAACCAGGCCAAGAGTATTTGGAGATGGCGTCAAGCGAGACAATACAGCGGGCATCCAGGAACACACAAGCATGCACTAACGGACGACAAGCAGTATGCAGGCGACAATGGCGAGTTCATAAGAACAATAATGCGTGAACCTTTTTCAATCCCAGACTAAAACAACTAAGTTGACAAACAAACAAACCCAATCCCAGAAATGACTTGCCATGCGTGCGTAAACCAAACAGGAGCAAACGATAAAGGTATGTACAGCTCTTTTGCAAAACAAACAGATTCCTTCCCTAGCCGAGGGCTCGCGTAGAAGAAACATAAACCCACAAGGGCAGACGCAATAACGAAAATGCCCAGACGACGTCACATGTGTTTCCCGCCAACTCTTCCCTCTTCGTCCCCTTGCCCACACATTCATTAACGCTGCGCGGCCTCGGCCGAAGACGAGGCCGGGAACCACGGCTGTGGCGTCTAGCAATCCCCAAAAAGCAGCAAAAGCAAGACCAAGCGCATTAACCCAAAACACCGTTTAGTCCACAAGAGAACCACCACGAAGGACGGCCAGGCCTGGCTGCCCGCCAGAAAGAAGGGGGAGGATGAAGGGATCAAGAGAGAGTATGGAAAATGGGTGCATAAAAAGAATAGTCAAGCCATAAGCAAAAGCGCGCCACTGTTTAAGAAGACGCTCTGAGCAGTGGACGTGACAAGTAGAAGGAGAAGCCCAGAGGACAACAGAAGGCTTGCTTTGCTGAACGATGTTGACAAACATGGTTTTCGCCAATGACACCCGAACGCCGTCGCAATTAGCACGATGGGAGCTGGTGTCGGGGAGGCCAATTGAAGGAGTAGAGTAGAATGCAAGGTGCAGACTCAAAATGGCGGACCAGACGACCCCATGCCAGATTAGACGCACCGGCCACCAGCACATCCGCCCACGCCCCTCCGGACTTGTAACAAGGCCTCCAAGTCCAAGTCAGGGAAAGGCGCGTCGGTGGGCCACGTCGCGGGTTGGTAAACATGAGGTGGTATGCGATTGGTGATGTGATGCCGCGTGATGCCGCCGAAAACAGACATCCAACTGTTATGGGTATCCTGAGGGTGAAGAAGGCTCAAGTTTCGTAAAACATGCCATTCAATCTATATAGATTGACGTTCCGGTCGAGGGAGTGGCGTTGGGGACGCGCGAGATGGTGCCGACGTCACAAATTGAGTGGGAGCTACATCCTACTCAAGTTGATCGAGACTGATGTCCGTCACGGTGATGCCAAAAAGGTGGCCATTCCGTTCAGTCCAGTTGCGGGCGTGAAGGGAAGCTGTGAAGATGGCGGGTAAGTCTCATGGTGAGCCAAAGTGTCATGTGGAAAATGAAAGCATGGGATAGAACGCTAGGGGGCGACGTAAAAACTTACTCTTCAGGAACCTCTTGCTCGCATACTTCTTGAAGAACGCCTCGTGAATGATAGGGCGAGACAGGTAATCGACCATCAACTGGACGACAGGTTCAACCTCCTCATCGGTGTAGCCCGAGTAGTGGGCCAGTGTCTCGTCCCACTCGCCACGGTCCAGGATAATGCGAGAGAGCGCCATGGCGGCAGCAGCAATGTGGCTCGGGCGGTACTGCATTAGGCGATGATCGAGAAGGCTAATCTCCATGAGATACTTTCCAACTGTCCGGCTGTTGACATCATAGTTGTCTGCCTTGGAAATGCGTCGGAGGAAGTTCATAGGGTTGGGGTAGCTGAGGTCGTACTTGAGCGTCTGAAGGATGTACCGCTCGGCGCTGAGGATCTCGGATTCGCTAAAGCCATCGTCCGTAACATGGCGGAAGTTGGTAACATGGGGAGACATAACCTCCTCGTACTTCGAAGCAATGAACATGGCCGTGATGCCCACCAGCTGAAGACGATCAAGCGGTACGACCTTCTCAGACAGGAAGCGGTCGACAATGTTGACAGCCAGGAACAGAGTCTCGGGCACAAGGTGGAACCGCGTGTGCACCTCAATCAGCCAGTCCACTAGGATTCCACGCGTCTTCCACTCCAGATCGTCCTGGTGCGACATGTAGTCAGGGTTGGGCATCGAACGCGTCTCGAGGTCGAGCATGTAGTCGAAGATTTCATTAGCGTATTCGGCCACCATGAGGGGGTCCTCAAAGTCGTCGTTCTCCAGGTTGTGCACGCCAGGCGGGAGGTTGCGAGCCACCTCTTCGCGAGGATCGGGTCGCACATAGGGCTTGGCCTCCTGGACCTCGGGCTCAGGCTCCTTCTTGGCTGGCTTGGCCTTGACCGGCTCTGGAGCCGACACCTTCTTGCGGACAGGCTCACTCTCAACAGGAGCCTCTTCCTTGACTGTGATTGAGTTCGCCTGTGGCTGCGACACCTTTCGTTTTTGCGCGGGGATGGCGCCAGGTCCAGAGCGCTTGGTCTCGACCTTCTGGTTCGCCTGTTTTGACGAGAGGGCGGTGCGTCCGGCGGTTGTGCGGGTCGTGGCCTTCTGGATGCCGCTCGGCTGGGCAGCCTTGGAGACGAGGCCAGCCTTGCCGGCGACCTTCTTGCCCTCATGAACCTCCACCTTTGTGACATTGCTGACGTCGCCGAGGGCGGCACGCGTGCGGGCGGTGCCCTGCGTGGTGGCGGCAACACGCTTAGACTGCATGGCTTTAGCGGGGAGGGCAAGCTCGTCGACGTTGAGTGCGGCGGCCTTGGCCCTGGTCACGCGCGATGAGCTCGCGTTCTCGTCGTTCTCGTTCGAGACCAGACGGCCTCGAGTAGTGCGCTGGAGGAAGGGCACGTCAGAATGGGTGCCTCGGGGCAAGTATGACGCGCTTGGGGCGTGTCATGTCGCGTGTACTTACTGGACCCATGACGGAATATTGGGTATGTGGAAACGAAGGAATCAAATACACGCTCGGCGGTAGCTATCGAGGGCGGTCAGTTGGGCGGTCTTTGTGCCAACACGAGAGGACGCGGGAGGGCGCGATGTATATGTTATATAAGGGGGATATTGTGTGGCCGGAACGAGCGAGATGGGGTTGTGGGGACGCGATGTGCAGGCGAGATTTTACACGACCCGACCCAGGCGCGATCAGGGCGTGCACGGCTGGCATAGGGAGGACCCAAATTCGAGAAAAACGTACATGGACTGGCTAGCAGTGCACGGGAAAGACCCGAGATGATATGTCTCGGTGCTTGGTATGCGAGGTGAGGCCCGCTGGGATTTCGGCCAACAAGTCACCCGCCTCGAGTCTGGTGCTGCTGGTCGAAGATGCTGCTGGCTGGCGAGAGGACGCGACGGGACGTAGGGCGAGAAGTCGAGGATGCGCAGATGGTGGACAGGCCGGATGTCCCAATTGATGATCTCTGGAAGTGCACAGGCGACGCAAGAAGAGAAAGCTCGAGGGGAGAGGTGGTAGAGGATTGGAGGTTGGAGGATGATGATGTGAGGCGGGAGCTTTTGTTTTTGCAGGATGTTTGGCCACGGTGGAGTAAGTGAGCTGCGAGAGACGTGCCTTGGGTGGGGGCCGACGCCAGCACGGGGCAAGACGTGCCAGACCTTGGAAGCCGCTCTCTGCTACGCTAGCCGGCGTTGGCGGGGGTACGTTGCCAGGGGGTTGCTCCTCGAGCGTGCGGGAGTGACTCGCAGAGCAGCAAGGCCACACGACACGTCTGGTTCGCGAAGGTGCGCCTGCTGAGTGGTTGCCCGCGTTGCTGGCCCAGGTGGCTGGAAAGAGTAAAGACGAAGAGGAAGCAGGAAGGAAAAGTTAAAACTAGGTTGGTCAACGGCTCTCTATCTTGTCAAAGGTTGTCTATGCCGCACTCTCGCGACGCGTTGCGAGGCTGTTTCCTAGTCCGATATAGCGGGTTGGATTTGGATTCCAAGGGCGGTGGGTGCAGGTGGTGCAACAAGGAAGCCCGTTGCGGCGGAGACGTGACTGAATGCCCAAAAGCCGACGATGGCCCAGCGTGCTTTTCCCGCCCTTTCCCTTGCGGCTGCTTCCCAGAGGACTGCGGTTCCCGTGTCGACATTGATTTGATTGGCTGCGGGGGCCACAGCGCTTTGGCTGGTGGGGAGCTGCGGGCCTGAGCAAATCAACACGCTCGAGCCCGCCGGGGTGTTTGCCAGAGGACCGCGTGCTTCGGTACGTACTGGCTGCCAGGGTCCACAGTCAACAGAGGCGACGGCGGAGCAACTGCGCCATGATTGGGCGGCACGTCTGCTCCCCTGCCGCATCGAGGCAACGCTTGTGCTCGCGTTTTTCTGCGTCTTGGCGCGAATTCCCCCCAACATGTTTCGTCGCGACTAATAGCACTTCGACTACCAGCCACATCCGTCATGGATACTCAGCCACGAGTGGCACTGCGACGAAGGTGCAATTGGTCGGGCAAAATACAGCCCACCTCCGACCCATTGGGGCTGGTGGGTTGCAAGGCTGCGGCGCAAGCTTCCCCGCCAGGCGCCCAATTGACGCAACACGGGATTCTATTGGACGGTCGGGACCACGTTCGTCGGCCTTGCGCAGCCGTGAGAAAGCTTCGCTATCAAATTATGCCATCACGACCTGCCATGGCTGGTCAAACGATACTTTAGACGAATCGCTGTCTGGCAATGCGGCGGGCCCAACGCACCTTGAATTTGAATCCTGCTGGCGAGACGGCGGATTTTGTGCTGTAAATGTCGCCATCATCGAACCGGTCCTGAATGGGTGAAAAAAAATATTGCGCTTCCTCGATCCCGCCGTCCGCCAACCCGCCTCCTCACCACCACTACCTTCACACCACTGATACTGCCACCACCACCACCACCCCCACTATCGCAGCCCGGTGCGTGGCCACCATGCTCCAGCCACGATTGAGACCCATGGCACTGGCCGGCGGCGCCCTATCTGCCGCCTGCCGGGCTGTCATGGGGCAGAGCTTTCGGAGAGGGTACGCAACCCCCGCGGTACAGTCGACACCGGGCACCCCCGCCGTCGGCGCCCCTAGTGGCAGCGGCCTCGCAACGGTCTTCAAGGACAGGGGAAACGAGACGGCCACGGTCCTCATGCGCACCTACAAGCCGCGCACACCAGGTATGCGCCACCTGAAGCGGCCCATCAACGACCACATCTGGAAGGGCCGCCCCATCTGGTCATTGACATTCCCCAAGAAGGGCATGGCCAAGGGCGGTCGCAACAACCAGGGGAGGATTACGGTGCGACACCGAGGCGGTGGTGTCAAGCGACGCATCCGCATGGTAGACTTTGAGAGGCGCGAACCCGGCCCGCACACGGTCGACCGCATCGAGTACGACCCCGGCCGCAGCGCGCACATTGCCCTGCTGGTGAACCAGGCCACTCAGAAGAAGTCGTACATTGTCGCTGCCGAGGGCATGCGCGCCGGAGACGTGGTACAGAGCTATCGTGCCGGTATCCCCCAGGACCTCCTAGAGAGCATGGGTGGCGTGATCGATCCGGGTATCTTGGCTGCCAAGACGGCCTTTCGCGGAAACTGCCTGCCCGTCCACCTTATTCCTGTGCAGACCATGATCTACAACGTCGGCTCTACCAAGGACAGAGGCGCCGTCTTCTGCCGGAGCGCCGGCACATATGCCATTATCGTGTCCAAGGACGAGGAGACTAGGGCTGACGGCAGCAAGATCATGACGGGTAAATACGTTACGGTCCGCCTGCAGAGCGGCGAGGTCCGGAGGATCAGCAAAGATGCCTGCGCCACTATCGGCCAGGCTAGCAATATCATGCACCAGTACCAACAGCTAGGCAAGGCCGGTCGAAGCCGTTGGCTAAACATCCGGCCGACGGTGCGCGGTGTCGCCATGAACTCCAGTGAGAAAGCCAGACCCAATTCCGTATCTCCTGCATTTCAGACTATGCGACTAACACAATCTTTCTCAAGACGACCATCCCCACGGTGGTGGCCGTGGTAAATCCAAGGGTCGCCGCCACCCGACCAGCCCATGGGGCACACCTGTAAGTCTTTGTTTGACTCTCCCTTTGGCCCGTGCATGATCATGCCTGTAAGACCTTTTCTGCGGCTAGTCACCCATAATGCTAACAATATCTTCAGGCCAAAGGTGGTTTCAAGACAAGAAGAAAGTCCAACATCAACAAATGGGTTGTGGTGCCCCGCGTCAGGAACCAAGGCAAGAGGCGGAACAAGTCGTCGCGAGACTAGACGACGGAACGACAGCGCACTGGGGTGCACGGTACTGAATCCTCTCCAGTTCGGAGGGACATGTACAGGCACTCCAGTCATTTCTATCCATACCACACCTCGTTGTACCATATCGCAGCAACTTTTGTTAAATATCGGGCAACCCCAGCGCCCTAGTACGGCCGCTGTGGTCAGCAGCCTGTCAATATTATATGGGCTAGGGTATATGACGTATATTAAGGCTCATTTCTGTCACCCTGTGTCACCGCGTTGCTTTCATTTCCGCGCCTCCTTTTTCTGATGTCCAGCCTGGAAGGGCAAGGAGGCATGTTGCAATGTGTATTAGGGGTCAGCTTGCTCTGATGGAATGGTATTCACGTGATGTATCATCATGTCCTTGGCGGCTCCAGGGTTGAGGCACCTCTATATTGTACATGCCTACTTTACTGATATAGGCATTAAATATTTAATCATACTGAAAACAGTTCCAATATGAATTTGCAAGATTTAGACTTATTTACCATTTCTTATGGTTATATTTATCTCCTGTTTTTCATTCCCCTTCTCAGCAGAGAATGCATGTGAGTGGTGACAGGCTCTGGTGGTTGGCTAACCACTGTTCCCTGGACTACCAACTTTCCACTTGTCTAGATCCACCGCCAACCGGGGCAAAAAGCAATGCATACACAACGGTCGCCACACAATACGTCGGAAAAGCAACCCTAGCTGTACCGCTGGAATCGGGCGATGAAAGCAGTGATCGTGGACTTTGCTATATTGCCAGAGGCGTGATCTGTAGGCCAGCAAACACTCTCCTATGCACATGGTCCCATGATGCATGGTTCGCTGCAATGCGACATGATATGCGAACCGTTGATCGTCGGTGCAGGGCCAGAAAGTATCGAACCCACTTGGCCACCCTGGCAGCGGACGCAGTTATTTTTACGGGACATGCCCGAGGCCGCCCGACAGGAAATACCGAGCTGATGACGACCTTTGTGGTGACGATGCAACGCGACTCCTCAAAGAGGAAAGCTTTTTAGACGACATATTCTGGGGCATTCGTGTGGGGACGGGGGCTTCTTTTTTTTCTTCGCTCTGCCATTTCTAAATTTTTAATAGCGCGCGAAACCAGGCCTGGGGGGCGCGGCCGCCCAGCCTCGAGGTCACGGACGCGGGATGGACGGCAACGTGCCGCATCTGCAGTCCGTTGGTGCTTTGGGCCGACTCTGGAAGGTTTCAGGGACCCCTGGGAGGGTGGTGCCGGCTCAGCCTCAACTGAACAATCCCTCCCCCGCCGCCTGCGATGGGCCGACTCCCGAGGACACGAGCCAGCCATGAGCCCGCGGAACGGCGGGGGGCCACGTAGGGCCGCGTATGTGCAATGGGTGCCGAACTCTGCGGGCGCCACAATGCGTGGTCCATTTTGTGGGCAATTGGGGCGCTGCGTCGTAGCGCTAATCGTAATGGAATTTCGGCCATGCTGGTTGGCCTGCTGGGAGGGTTATGTGATCAATCAGACCTTGGGACCGTTGGCCATGGATTTCGATTTTGTCTTTGCTTGGAAAAGGGAAAAAGGGGACAAATTGGAATTCGTTCTTTGTCTTTTTTATCGACATTGATCTCTCTCCCACTCGGCTCCCAAGTCCCTCGTTTTTTTTATCCTCTCACCAAACGCAGCACGACATCTAGATCCATCTCCTCCTGCAGCCCGATCCTCTCACTAACCTGCAGCCTAGTGGCCAAAAGGGAATCCAGATTACTACTTCGGGCAAAGAAGCGCACCGAGGGTGGCGAGCCTGACCATTTACGGGGACACGCGACCTCCTACCTCAGAAACCATCGTGGCACCAGCGCGTCGAGGCTGTGCCTTCCCTGCCGAGCCTGTTCTGTCAGCACACGCTGCAGATCACCAAGGCAGCACTACAGTCAGCCACGGCCAGAAGCTACCTTGGGTCCCCAAACCTGAGAGACACGACGAAGGCGACTCGAGCACTGCGTCGCTCGAGAATTGAATCAAGCCTAGGTGAGCCTATCTATTCCTGGCGCATGGCCGGTACATCGCCAGCAGCAGACAAACCCAGGCAGTCCTCACTGGAGCAGGGAGGGTCCAGAGATCGATGCTTGCGCGGCCCTTCAAGGGTTCCGCTCAGTGTCTGTTCTTTTCCCAGTCTATTTTCTGGCAGCCGAATGAAACCGCTGATTCCTCCCCACCCGTGGCTCCAGCCGCCCAGCTCGTGCTCCACGCGCGCTACGGCTAGCACTAGTCCCGACTCGTTGTCGCCTCGCCCTGTGCTTTTTTCGAACTTGGCTGACCCTGCTGCACACCCTCTCCCAGTCGTCTTAAAACATCCCCAACCGCCCTGCCTACCCGCCCGCTTGCCTGCCCCCTCTCATCCCTTTTGTCCTTCCGCTTCCCGATGCTAGGGAACGGTGTCGATGATTACGATAGAAGCACTCACCACAACAAATCACGCAATTTCTTCAACAGCCTCTCCTCTTCGCACTCGTACGCCAGGATGGACGACTTTCGGGGCCCAGCCCCTCGCCGCCAGAAGGGCACGCCGCTCCTGCTGCTGTCCTCGTATGTCTTTGACTGGATCATCCTGCTCGTTGTCGGAGCAATCGGGCTCTGGCTCGGCAAGATGAAGCCAAACATGCGCCCGTTCCAGCTGGAAAGCCCTCACATATCGTAAGTTGACATCAATTGCCCTCGACGATGGCGTCCCCAGCCACCGCCGTCTCTTTATTGATGCTGATTGCCTGGTTGTCATTGGGTTCAGATTCCCTTTTACCGAGAAGGAAACCGTACCAATGGTCACAGCCGGCATCGTTAACACCCTTGGCCCCATCGTCATAATCACCATCATCTCCCTGGTGATGGTACCCGGATCGACCGTGCCTCCAGGAACGCCAAAGGGGCTGATTTGGAGGAGGAAACTCTGGGAGCTTCACCAGGGCCTGCTTGGCCTGGCTCTGTCGTGTTGCGGCGCCTGGTTTGTTACCAATGGCATGAAGAACATGTTCGGCCGACCGCGCCCCGACATGCTGTCCCGCTGCATGCCCGATCTCGAGAACGTCGCCATGTACGTCGTTGGCGGCATTGCCAACACCACCAGCAACGGCCAGCTGGTCAGCGCCAATATCTGCACCAACGCAAACGCCGCCAAGTTGGAGGATGGGTTCCGCTCCTTCCCCAGCGGCCACAGCTCGTCTTCGTCGGCAGGCCTGCTGTACCTGTCGCTCTTCATTGCGTCCAAGTTTGCCATCACCATCCCCTTCCTAGCCCCCGCGAGCTACGCCAACGCCGCCGGCTTCAGCGCATTTCCGTCGCGCCTGCGCCGATCTAACACACCGTCGAGCGACATGTACGAGCTGGTCGATCGGAGACAGGTTGTTCCCCAGACTGACGGAACCACCAGTGGCGCCATGGCCGGAGAGGAGCTCTCGAGGCCCGGCGACCCGCAGGCTGCTAAGCGCATCGCCTCGCACACGCGTGCCGTCGCTGCCGTTCGCCTGTCTGCCGCCGCCCCGCCCCTCTATCTTCTGTTGATCGCCTGTCTCCCCACCTTCGTTGCCATCTTCATCTCGAGTTCGCGCTGGTTCGACTTCCGCCACCACGCCTTCGACATTATGTTTGGGTTCGTCATCGGTGTTATCACTGCCGTCTTCGCCTTCCGTTACTACCATCTGCCCATCTCCCAAGGCGCCGGCTGGGCTTGGGGTCCTCGCAGCAACGACAAGGCCTACTGGGCCGGAATCGGCAGCTACAGCTACGCCACCAACAGGGACGACTGGTCACGCACAGGCGACGAGGAGGAGGCTGTCGGCTCCCACCCCAGCCTTGCTGCCGTGAACACCGACTACGACAGCGTCAGGCGGACCCACATGGGCAGCAGGAGCGGCACCGGTACAGGCAGCACCATTGGTGCCATGAAGCGAGGCGAGAACAGCAGCATGGCCTCCCGCGCGTCGCCGCCACCAGCAAATCACATGGACGGCGACAACAGGATCTAAGGCGCGACACCATTTTTTGTTTCTGCTCGTTCAGCCAGCTTGTATTTGATACCCGCGGACATGTTACGGTCAATCGCACACGTTTACTACGGAAATTTCTCGCCTCGTGCTCGACAGGGCTATAAAGTCCCACATAGTCGCCTGCTTACTACGCGATAGTAAAGGCACGGGCTCGCATCGCACATGGCTCACCTTTTTGCTTTCTGGGGGAGTTGTAGGCTAACGGGACCTTAAACTTGGGATTTTAAGCATCTCGTGGCGTTAGTATGGGTCAGTCATCTTCGACTGTGTTATC